ATTACATTATTAATGAGATTTTTATTCTTTTGTCTCTCTTCATATATGGCCTTTGTTCTTGCTAACTTGCATTTGCCTGGAGGCAAAAAATGAGAATTTGTCCCAGACAGAATGCAAAGAGATGGAGCAAGGTGATATAGGGCTTTTGTCAAGCAAAAACAGGATTGGGCACTAGGACAAAGGTCCTGCAAGCCAGGCAATGGTCTTGAGAGCAAGTTTTCCAAATCTTTATTTCTCCTCCTTTGGCCTGTGAACAAGCATGTCTAAAGGACCACTGTCAATAGAGTTCTCCTGCAATGTAAAAGAGAGATCCTTCCACCCACAGCAGCAAAGACAGGAAGTCAGCCATTTCATGATAAACGGATATGATGTGAGGACTGTTAATGGTTGAATTGTGTCCCCCCAAAAGATATGCTGAAGTCCTCCCCTCCAGTAATGGTATGTGAACATGACTTCATTTTGAAATAGTCTCTGCAGATTGAATCAAATTGAAATGAGGTCATTAAGGTGAGCCAATGCAATGTGACTGGGGCCCTTATAAGAAGACAGCTATGTGAAGACTCAGAAACACAGACGAATGCTGTGTGAAGACACAGAAAAACACAGATACAGGCACACCACCATGTGACGATGGAGGCAGAGATTGGAGTGATGTATCTGCCAAGCCAAGGAGCACCAAGGTTTTCCAACCAAGACCAGAAGCTAGAAGAGGCAAGGAAGGATTCTTGCCTACAGATTTCAGAGGGAGCATGGCCCTGCTAACACCTTGATATTGGGCTTTTTGCTTCCAGAACTGTGAGACAATACATTTCTGCTGTTTTAAGCGATGCGGTTTGTGGTACTTTTTAGGGAAGCCCTAGGAAATTAATACAAGTACTATGGGAAGAAAAAAAAAGAGAAAGACAGGAAGAAAGCAAGAGGTGAGTATCTGTGTCTTTATTTCTCCTCTCTGTGCTTCTGTCTGCAGAATGCAGGAACCTCAAGTAAGTACATGTGACATCAAAGACTGGGGTAGGGGTGGGGGTCTCTAGCCAAGCTTCTCGGAGGACTTGAGGGGAGGCTACCTTGCAGGTGTCCTGCATCAACCGGGTGGTGCAACGTGTCTGATAAAGGGAGACCAAGAGGTTTAGGTTTCCCGAGTCTCTCCTTGGTGACTTTGCATCATTCCTAAGGGCCGGGAAATGCTAGAACCAACGGTATTTTATGTTAGAATTCCACATTTGTCTTGAAGTTCCAATTACTGCTCTTGTTTATCTCTTCTTCTCAATCTTATAGATTTGTTTCCAATAAGGTGGAATTTCAACTCCTGATTTTCCAGTGGGGTAACCACTGTACAAGCTGGTTAAGGAAAGATTACTTTCTCTGACACCTCAATTTCTTTTAATGAGATGACCATTCATTGAGTCACCCAGTCTTGATGCCACACATTCAGCTTCAGTGCCCACCTCTCTTAATTATAACGTTTTCTACATCATTCCTCAATTCATTAAATACCCTATCAGGCCTTCTAAGATCAGCCTTCTGCCTGCTTCATTCACTCAAGAAACAAAAAAAGTAAAACAAAGCAAGAGTCATCTTTTCAGGTATTTGGGATTTAATAATGAGCACAATGAAAATGATATCTGCCTTCATAGAGATTTTATAGTCTATTAACAAGAGTAGATATAAACTAAATAATTATCCAGCTAAGTATCTAGTTGAAACTGTCATAATTGCTGTGAAAAGAAAGTACAGGGTTCTATGAGAGGTTGTGATAGAGAACTGGTCTAGTCTGGGTAGTGGTAAGGAAAGACTTCCCTAAGGAAGCGACATTTGATGCAAGATCCTAAGAGTGAGTAGGAGTTACCTGGGTGGAGTTACGTAGGTGTAGAGTGGGAACTGGTGGCAAAAACCTTATATAAAGCCTGAAGGACGAATGAGCATCGAAGGAACCTAGCACAGCACAGGAGAATGGCAGTGGAGAGCCATGGTGAACGCTGTCTACCGGGAGGTTGGAAATGAAGGCAAGGGCCAAATCTATTACCATTTTAAGGATTTTGATTTTTTTAAAAAAAGAGCAGCGGAAAACTGTTATAGAATTTCAACTAGGTGGTGACATCTCAGGCTTTGATCACCTGGCTTCACTGTGAAGAGATGGGAAGGTTGGAACTGGTGCAGGAAGACAAACTGATCTCCAGGTCAGCGGTCCTCAGCTTGGTTGTAAGCGGGCATTACCTGGGAGCTGTTGAATATTCTGGAGGCTGGGTTTCATGCCCAGAGTCTCATGCAATTCACTTGGGTATGCCCTGGGCATTTCAATTTTTGAAACTTCTCCAGGTGACCTTAACATGCAGTCAAGATTAAGGACCGCTGTGATACCTGGATGGTTAGCTACACGAGGGCAAGGGTTTCTTTTTTTTTTCTACCTTGTTTAACACCTCTTGCCCCTGCCCCTGTATCTAGAACAGTATCTGATGTAATGCTTAATAAAGGAAAGAAGGAAGGAAGGAAGAAGAGAAGCGAGGAATGAAGGGGGAAAGGGAGGGAAGGAGAGAGGGAAGAGATGAATGAACAATTTTTTTATATATGTTCCACTAGTTCCATTTATACTGTGATCTCTAAGCAAAATATTTTGCCCTTGCCTCTAGGACAAAGCCTACCACACTGTAGTTATAGTTTCTTTCTCTTCCTTTCTCTCTCTCTCTCTCTTAATCTAGCACCCCCTAGGTTTCAGATGTGCTCATGGCTGCCCATCTGGAAACTATATTTCACAGCTTTCTTGGCAGGTTGCTCTGGTCATGTGAAAAAATGTTGACCATAGGATGTGATCTGAAGTTACAGGTGCAAGTCTAAGTTAAGTCCTCAGAGACAAACATGGTTGCCTCTCACCTTTTCTTTTCCCCTCCCAGGGCTAGAACATGGACACGGAGTTTGTGAGCCAGTTTCTACACTGCAGACAAAATCAACACACCTTGGGACAAGGCGAAGTGAAGCAACAAGATAGTGTTGCCAAATGTTTGGCCATGTAGAAAAACATTTGCGTAACAACTAGTTTTCCACTAGACAAAATAATTTTCATTTTTCTATCATTCAGAAGATAAGTATTTGATTGTATACTTTATTTTGATAACCAGCCAGGAAAAATAACATCAGGATACTAGCAATGTCATATTTTAATTTAATATATATTTCCCTCTAATAGCTTGGCATCAAAATCCTTTGGGGAGCTTGTGTATTTTAGGCCAAGTTAGCATACAGAATACTTTGTTTTTATTATGGGAATCTCATATTACTTTATGACTGTATGCCAAATCATATTTAATAAGATATCAATTGAGCAAAACATGCAAATGGATTTTATGCACTCCATGGATGTTCACATGACATCTTAAAAGGAGTCAGCTATAGCAGAGCATTTGTTACAATTTGAGATCCCTGTGAAAACAAGGATCATGCGCATTTAGCCCAACAAGATAATGCTTCATTTCTCCATGTCCATTGACTGCTGGTGACAGATGGCTAATGAAAATGCTTTAGTTGCTCAAAAAGGAGTTCTGGCATTATCCTCAGGATACAGTTCTTTGTTTTTAAATCAAAAGTATTTAAACTCTTTAAGAACAAAATAAAATCAGTGTGTGAGAAAGAGTGGGTGAGCATTCACACCAGCTGGCACACTCAGGCCGCCAGTTGTTAAATAAGCTTATGGGAATCTTTTTCATCTCTAAAATGAAAACTATTTCTGCTGGGTAGAATTAAATGGGTTAATGCACCAAAGCCCATTGGACCCTTTACGTGTCTGTGCCTGCAAACTTCTCATACAAGCAGATCAATGAAGTGGAGGGAATGCCATGCAGCTTCAATTTCTCAAAAGTCGTTTTCAAGAATTCATTTTACATTTCACCTGAACCACAAATGTGGTTGACAGAATAATGGCTTTGCCCTTCAAAGATGTCCATGTCCTAATGCCCAGAACCTATGAATCTGTCGCCTTACATGGTGGAAAGGGACTCTAGAGATGTGATTAATTAAGGATTTTGAGATGAAGAGATTATCCAGGATTAGCCAGGTGGACCCACTGTAATCAGAGGTGTCTTTATAAGAGGAAGGCAGGAGACACAGAGTCAGAGAAGGAGATGTGACGGTGGAAGCAGAGGTTGGAGTGATCTGGGGCTACAAGCAGAGGAACGCTGGCAGCCTCTGAAGGCTGTAACAGACAGGTAAGCACATTCTTCCCTCGAGCCTCCAGGAGGCGGGCAGCCCTGCTGACACCTTGATTTTAGCTTTAGTAAAACCCATTTTGGACTTTCTACCTCTAGAATTCTAAGACAACAAATTTGTGCTTTTTGAAGCAATTATGTTTGTGGTGATTTGTTATGTCACCAATAGGAAATTGTCTTTTTATAGAGAAAAGTTCATCATGACTCCTGTCACATTTCATATGCAAAAATAAACTCAAAATGAATAATAGACCAAAGTTAGAACTGTAAAATCCCTTCAAAAATACAGAACATCAGCGGCCAGCCCAGTGGCGTAGTAGTTAAGTTTGTGTGCTCTGCTTTGGCGGCCCAGGCTTCGCAGGTTCAGATCCCAGCTGTGGACCCACATACTGCTCGTCAAGCCGTGCTGTGGCAGAACCCCACATACAAGAAAAAAACAAAACAGGGGAAGGTTGGCACAGATGTCAGCTTAGGGACAATCTTCCTCAGGCAAAAAGAGGAAGATTGGCAACAGATATTAGCTCAGGGCCAATCTTCCTCACACACGCACGCACAGAACATCTTTGTGACCTTAGAGTAGACAAATATTCCACAGACAGGACATGTAAAAGCAAACTGCATCAAACGTAAAAACTCTTGCTCATCAAAATATACTTTTAAGAAAATTCAGAGGAAGCCCCAGACAGAGAGATAATGTTTGCAATACATATATCTATCAAGGGACTTATATCTAAATATATAAAAACGTATACAACTCAATAAAAAGACAAACCCAAAGCTTAAAATATGGACAAAAGACTTAAACAAACACTTCACAAAAGAAAGTATGCAAATGGCCAATAAGCACTTGAAAGTATGCTCAACATCATTAGTCATAAGAGGAATGTAAACTAAAACAGTGGCTGTCAAGGATGTAGAGTAACTGAGATGCTCACACATTGCTGGTAGGAAGGTTAAATGGTATAACTACTTTGGAAAATGGCTCTGTGGGTTCTTATAAAGTTAAATCTATACTTCTCATATGGCTCAGTAACTCTATTCCCTGTTATTTACTAAGGAAAATTGTAATATTTTTCGACACAAAAACTTGTGAATGAATACTCATAGCAGCTTCATTTATAATAGCCCAAAACCGGAAACAACCCAAATGTCCATCAACAAATAAAAGGATGAACAGATTCTTATATATCCACACAACGGAATACCACTTGGCAGTGAAAAGAATGAACCACTGCTACATGAAACAACAGAGATGGATCACAAGAACGTTATTCAAAGAGAAAGATGCCAGATGCAGAAAAGTAGATTTTATATCATTTTAATCTGATGAAATTTGATGAAAGGTAAAACTAAAATCCAATCTATAGTGATAAGAAGCAGATCTGTGGTTACCCGGGGCTGAGAGTACTAGTGGGCATTGATTGGAAACAGGCAGAAAATATTTTGTGGTGATAGAAATATATTCTGTGTAGATTGCGGTGGTCACATCACGGGTGAATGCATTTGTCAAAACTCCTGTAAGTGGGTACATTTTAATTATGTAAATTCTAACTTTAATCATTTAAAGTAGATTTAAAAGTTTTCAAATGACAAAAGTTTAAAGTATGAAAGAGGGTGGTAATAATGTTAAAAGCCCTCTGCCTATGTCTTAGCAAAAAAAAATTAAGACTGAGATACTCTACTGTGTCAGAAAGAAAGAGAGCCATTAAAGACAGTAATTCAAGGTCTTGTCCAAAAGTGCTGGAGCAGGCGTGAAAGGGGTCCCATTGGCCAAAGATAGGGCAACGTGAACATCAAAAAGAATAATAAACTCAGTTGATTGAAATTTATTTAATATTTAAAAACTATTGGATTCATAACAAAAGAGAGGAGAAGTAGGAGAGGAGATTGAGAGAGAGAAAGAGAGAGGACCCATTAGACACCAGTGGGAATAACTAGACAATTGGACCCACCGACTTCTTTCCATGAAAACTGGCAATTAAAGGAAAAGAATTAAGCATCTATCTTGTATTTCCTGTATAAACTATATGTCACGAAAACCAAATAGCCCTAGATGATAAGGAAAATTTCTTATTTACAGAAGAATTCCAGCTCATAAATATGGAAGAAAGCACAGACGCAGAAAATCCCTATTTAAAATTCCGATTAAAATCATTGGCTCAGGCAATGACTGTCAATGCATGAACAATTAGTAAAAGCTTACCTTATTTTATTATTATTAAGATATTATATTGGTGAGATTGAGCTGTGCCATCTGAACCCATTGATCAATTTTAGCATCAATAATAATGAGACAAGGCAACTTCCCTCCTGCAGTGATACAATATGAAGCACGTTAATGAAATGTTCTTGCCCCAAACATGGAACTTGAGTCTAATCAAGCCCATAGCACTAACGTCTATGGATAGGAAATAGGAAGAAGATATAAAAATCTGTTAAATGACACCAGGAAGCAACCACACAAACCCAGAATATGGGATTGTCTACAGAAAATCTAAATCCATATCTGTGACAACACTATGACCAAAAGAAAAAACTGAATGGGGATGGGCTGTATTATCCTATCAATGTGCTATTAATTAACAAATTAATTATAATACATTAGTTAATAATGTGTTATTAGTTCAGGATTAGGCAAAAAGAGCCACAGAACAGAATAGGAAGTTGCTGGTTTGTAACATCAGGAGTTCCCTTGGTGAAATCTGAAACTGGCCCCCCCGTACATGGAAGGCAAGGAGAGACCACAGAAAGAGGCAGCCACTCCAGACTGGAAGGTGGCAGGTTTAATCAGCAAGGGAATTGACCTATGAGACTTGTCTTGGGCGGCTGCAAGATGAATCGATCTCCACACCTGCCAGCCAGAATCTTAAAAGTTTACATAGAGGCTTTAACGGGGTCAGTCACACACACCTTCCAGATGATCTCAACAACACATTGCTCTCTCAAAGCTGCATCCTTGAAAATGGCTCCCATGGGGGAACAGTGGGCAGAACATACATTCCAAGGACAGAGGAGGGTGAGGATTGCCCAGGTCCAGCTTGAGGGTTGATCGGCAGTCATGTCCTCTCGATGGCCTTCTCCAGCAGAAGTCCAGAATTTATCACATAGTAAAGATTATATGTTCAAGTGAGTGGGAAAACTGTAAAATAGCCAAAAAATGGTTTTGTGAAAATTAGATAAATGTTTAGCAAATAATAATAAATTTGTTTCTGCCATATCACTAAAAAAATAATTACAGATGAAGTAAGAACTTAGCCATAAAAATACTATGAAAATGTAACACAAATAAAGGAATGCCTTTTTAATCATGGAATAGGAAAGGCTTTCCTCATTAAAACACAAGATGCAAAATCCATAAATGGAAGTTCTGATCATTTAAGATAAAAATGTTAACATTAAGGGGTGATTTGAAAAGTGAAAGTCAAATACTTATCTGGGAAAAAAATGTTTTCAACTTATATAATACAGAATTCGCTTAGAGGCTATAAGAACTCCTGCAAACCAAAAAGAAAGATACAAAATAATCCTAAAGAAAAGTGGGGAAAGGGTATAAAATTTCAATTCATACAAAAGGAAAAACAAAAGGAATTAGCACATAAAAATACATATTTAACTTTGCAATAATAAGCAAATAAAAATAGTGTATATATAATAGTAAATGTGATAAATAATGATTATATAATAAATATATATGATATTTCAGCTCACACTATGGGGAAAAAACTGTCAAGATCATGTCTATTGTTGGCAAGTTGTGGAGAAATGAGTACTTTCATATGCCTATTGTAAGGGAATACTTTTCCCTACTTATGATGTTTCTTTTCTTGTGGGGAAAGCCGCCTTAGCATAACACACCTCTCTCTACCTCTCAATCATTTATTCCTGTAGGACAAAGGATTAATATGATTGATATAATTGGGGAGGTTGGAAAAGAAAACTGAGGAAGACTGCGTTAACTTGGCTTCTTCCTCCCCCCTGTCTCTTGACAGTAGACAGCTCAGAATCAGGAGACACTCTGCTTTGCACCTGCGTGGCATTCTCTGGTCCCGTAGTTGAGAGATCAAGCAGGGAAGGCTGCCCCAATCCAGAGATTCTGGAAGGAAAGTTTGCTTAATGCTAGGATTCAGTATAGAAAATTCAATTGGCTGTCGGGATTTATTCCGGGGATGAAGGGAGGGTTCAACATCCACAAATGAATCGATGTGATACACCACATTAACACAATGAAGAAGAAAAATCACAAGATTACCTCAATAGATGCAGAGAAAGTATTTGACAAAATCCAACATCCTTTTATGATAAAAACTCTCAATAAAATGGGAATAGAGGGAAAGTACCTCAATACGATGGTTTGTTCTTGGAGAAACATTGGGAGAGGGATGTAAAGGAATTCTTTAGCTTAATCTCTACTTGATGTTTTATAATAAGAACATATTCTTATATTACTTGCATAATTTTTAAATAAATTTTGAAGTATATAATAAACTAGAGATCAATAAGAGCTATTTTATTTTGATGTTTTATTAATCTCTCTTGGATTTGACCAGTTAACAATAAAGTGTTTCTTAAACAGTTATTGCAGGTAACATCTAAATAATAACACTGTATTTCAATAGTTATAGATAGTTAATAAATACTGTCTCTTTCCTATTTGTGTTCAGAAGTAATTAAAAGATAGAGGAAGGAATCAGACACAGATTATGTAAGCTTTATTGCTGATTAAAGCTAAATTGGAGAACTTGGCTTAAAAATGAAGGCCATATGCAGGCCGGCCCAATGGAGTAGTGGTTAAGTTTGTGTGTTCTGCTTCAGTGGCCCAGGGTTTGTGGGTTCAGATCCTGGACGTGGACCTGCACACCACTCATCAAGCCATGCTATGGCTGCATCCCACATACAAGACAGAGGAAGATTGGCACAGACATTAGCTCAGTGCCAATATTCTTCAAGCAAAATAGAGAAAGATTGGCAACAGAGGTTAGCTCAGGGTCAATCTTCCTCAAACAAAAAGAGGAGGATTGCAATGGATGTTAGCTCAGGGCCAATCTTCCTCACCAAAAAAAAATAAAAATAAAAATGAAGGTCACATGAGCTAATACTATACCCAAGAAATACGCTCACTTTCTCAATCAGAAGAAGGGCTTGGAAACTGCAGAACCCTTAAAAGGCAGCCCACCCCTATAAAATTTACCGAATAGAGGAGCAGAGAATGTATGGGACAGCAAAGTTGCTTCAGATATGTGGTAGACAGAATTCTAAAACAACTCCCAAAATTCCTGGACCCTGGTGAATACATACCTTCTCCCAGTTATTTAGTCAACACTAATCTAAGTGTTGCTTTAAGAAATTTTGGAGATATAATTCAGGTCCAAAATCAGTTGACCATATTATGATGGAAAGATTATCCAGATGGGCCTGACTTAATCTCATGAGCCCTTTAAGACTGGTTTAGAAGTTAGAGACAGGGAAATCAGAGACTTAAGGCATGAAAAGGATTTGATAAGCTGCCGCTGGCTTGAAGATGGAGGGAACCTGTAGCAAGGAAGGCGGGTGGGCTCTAAGAGCTGAGGCTGCCCCCTGGTGGACAGCCGGTATGAAATAGGGAAACCTCAGTCCTACAGTCACCAGGAACTGAATTCTGCCAACAACAACAAAAAAATTAATGAGCTTGGAAGCAGATATTTTCCCAGAGCCTGCAGACGAGACCTGAGCCTGGTCAACACCTTGATTTCAGTCTTGTGATAACCTGGGCAGAGGCCAGCAACACCATGTCAGACTTCTGAACTTCAGAACTGTGAGCTAATAAATGGGTGTTGTTTTCAGCCATTAAGTTTGTGGTAATTTGTTACACGGCCATAGGAAACTAATACATAGAGTAAGAAGGCACAAAGAGGTAAGCCATGGATGCACCAAATAGAAAAGCAGAAGAAAGACTGAGGGAGGGGAAAGAGCCGGATGTTACTGTCATGGAGGTTCTGCCACCTGGAACCTTGGGCAGGGGAAGTAAGTGTTTTCCACTTAACACATAATTGATGTTCACCACCAGCTCCAGATAGGAACTTCCTGATCGCTTAGCCCTGCGTTCCCAACAGAAGCTCCATATATATATATTTTTTCAGCAGGACAAGTCTCTCTCTCCTGGACTTTCTTGTGCATTACAAAAGGTTTACTTTCCCTGGGTCTCACCCACTGTCAGATGTATCCCCGAATCACAGCGAGAACAGAAACACTCTCTAACACTTCCATGTTCCCCCAAAGGGGGTGACAGTACCGTTGGCTGAGAACTAATGAAGCTCAACCCCATTATTTGACAGATGAAGGAAGTGAGAACTAGAGAGAGAAAGGGACCTTGAGGAGGTCTTACAACCCCCTAGTGTCAGAGCTACATTTACACATGGGCTTCCTAGTACACCTTTTATTGCAAACCTAAGCTACGAATGCTATTCTTTTAGCAAGTCATTTACCATTCTAGTCACTACAAAAGGATTCTGGGTCCCTATGTCTTCCCCCCTTCACTTTCTTTGAGTGTTTGTTCAAATGTCACCTTCTCAGAAAAGCCTTTGTGACCCTCCTATTTAAAATTGCAAACACCCCCTCTCATTCCAATACTCAGTACTCGTCATCTTCCTTCTCTGATTTATTTTTTACATAGTATTTATTACCTTTTAATAGACTATACAATTTACTGATTTGGCTGGAGGGCTATGTAACCAACACTAGACAATAAACTTGAGAATGAAGGATTTCAATCTGTTGTGCTCACTGATGTGTCCCAGTTATTGTATCTCTGCCTGACACCTGATCAATATTCGTTGAATAAATAAATGAGTGAAGCTATTATTCTAAGTATTCCATATGAGTAATTATTTTCCCTCCTTCTGTTTGGAGAGAAAAAATAAATCTTAGAATGCAGTTAAATCACATTGTCTCTGCTTATAAGTATTTCAGAGGACTAAGGTCAAAAAATACGGTGAAGCAATTTATGAAAATAAAGTATAAAAGTATATTCAGTAAGGAGTTTTTGTGGTACATTTCATAAAACTAAGATATGTAATGAAGAAATTTGTTTGATTTTCTCAGTCAGAAAACATATTTTACTTTCATATAAAATCGGCATGAATTAATTATGTATTTCTTTTATATAAATTAAGTATTGATGAGCTCAGAGAGTAATAATATGCATTCATATTCTTTTTAATTTTGCTGTAAATTATTAGTCTACATTTTTTTCTCCTCCTAACCCCCTCTCTAGACCAGCAAGCTCAACAGCTGGATTTTTTCTTAAAAGGGAATGCTGAATTTCAAAGAATTTAACACACGGTCTCGTCAATTTAGTCTGTTTTAAAAAAATACTGAGTCTTTGAGAGATATTGATATAGTTATACTTTTGGAAATATAAAGATAAATTCGATTTGGTACTTGACCTTGAGCAGCTTATCTTCTATTGGCGGGGGGAGGAAGAATGCCTAGAAAATATTGTGAACAACCGGGAGTGTACATGGTCGGCCATACCAGAAGACGGGATGTGTACTTGGAAATCTTAATCATAAGCATTTGAAGTGTCATATATTATTTAAATTGATTTCATTATTTTTTAATCTTTAACTAGATTATTTCATTTTTTCCCACAGTGGAAGTCCTTACTTAAAAATAGAAACAATATAATGTTTTTGCAACATATCTTCTCTTCTCTGGGTTTCAAGCTTGTTTCAAAAAGTAAATATGATTGTGGTAACTTGCTGAGAAATTCACTGGCAACGTTTATGTGCATATCTATCTTTTTCCTTGTAAATGCAATTTTTTTTCCTAAAAATCAAAAAGGATGCCGACGCGTAAATTTGCTGCCCTCCTGAATATTTCAATCTGAGAACTCAGTGTTAAGTGGAATAAAACTGCACTAAAATGTCCTCTGTAATTTATGACAAGTGATTTGAACATACCAGGAACGTTTTGTTCTCATATAAAGTCTGCTTTTTTATATACATTAAATAGATTTTCTGTTACGTAGGGTGACTGGCAACTAACCAAACACTTACTTGAATTGTTACAATGATATTTTAATACAAAAGATCACATCATAATCAACCCCAGGAGCACTTGCTGTGTTTACCTGAAAGGAAAATGATGACTTTTTTTCCAAGTAGTTTAACTCGAAAACCTGGAGGACTGATGTTTGCTGGAGGGAGGGGCTTAAATTCCATACACTAGCATCACCTCCTGGTGGAGTATAGTGAGAGAGGGTAAATTCTTTTCAGCTTGATTAGGAATCACTGGGCATGTTTTAAGGGCCCAGTTATTATAACATGGGCATGGAGTGCTCTTTGTGCCTGAGGGAATAGGATTGATGAGTTTATGGAATTAGAGGGATACAGGCGAGCACAGCAGAGTTGAAATATGTTAAGAGGGAACCAGCCAGGAAAATAATAGAACAAGACCAGAGCTGGGGTAGATACTGGTCTCCAGGTTGAACATTTTCTGTTTGGGATTGCCCAACTCTGGATGTCTGCTTTTTGCAGGCCCAGGATGTGTTGATTTCCTCTCTCTCACTACGGGAACCCCATAAGAGATTATCTAGAGGAGAATATCAGTGAGATGAGCACCTGGGCCAGAAAGCAGCGGAAGAGTAAAAGGAAGGAAGGTACATGGATCCAACAGACAGTGCTAGAGAATGAAACTGGCCTACTGAAGAGGAACAGTAAAAGGTTAGCAACCCAGGGGAGTCCTCCCGAAGGAGGATCAGAAGAGAAAAGGGAAACTGAGCAAATAGAGATGCTATTTGAAGCAAGAAACATTTAAAAGCTGGGGGCAGACTGCTTCTTGAGAAGTACAGGGCAGAGGTATTGGAGCTCTTGGGGCCCTGGGAGCACGTGCCTCTGAGGATCAGTCGCTTGCGTTCAGGAATCCACTGAGGGTGTTGAATTCCAGCTGAAACAGGTGTAGCTCTAAGCAACCACCTTTCCCAGGAAGCAGGTTTCCCAGACCTCAGAGGAAATACGGAAACAGTCATGGCAACAAACTTATTGTCAGGACCGGGAAGGCCTGCTTAAGAGAGAAATGCAACCGTGTCACTTGAGAAGCTCAAACTCAGCAGAGCTCTGGCGTTTCAGAAACAAGACACTCAAAGGGAAAATGGAAAATCAGAAGCTTTGAATACGTCGCAAGGAAATGAAAGGCATTTCAGCCAAACCTGGTGATAGGGGTTGATACCGTGTAAATTCCTAAACTTTGAAGAATAATTGCCAACGTTTACGGCGTGCTTGCTGTGGGCTGGGCACTGCTCTCTTTTACACGGATTAGCCCATTTACTTCTCACAACACTCTGATAAGGTGAGAACCACTTTTAATCCATTCTTTACAGACGAGGAAATTCAGATGCTGAGAGCAAGTAACTTGCTCAGTCACACAGCTAATAAGAGGAGGAGCTGGGATTCAAGCCCACGAGTCTGGCTCCAGAGAAAGCACTCTTAATTACCATACCAGAAATCAAAGAAAGAATGAGTCTGCAAGAGAGGAGCTAGTTTCCCCAGCCTGCTGCGGGATATGCTTGGTGCCAAATTAAACTCTGTCAAGAGAAACCTTCCCCTGAGATGAGTTACATATCCCAGAAAACATGTAGGCTGACGTCTTGGAAGACTGAAACTAAGATGGTCTCTTCTGGTGTGGCAGACACTGTGGTTGATCAGCCCTATATCCAATGCCATCGTCTCCCTACCCCCCTTCCAGCCTGAGGTCGTTATGGAGCATCGTTTCGGTCAGTGAGATGCCAGTAGGAAAATTCTGGTTGCAACTTCCAGGAGAGCTTTCACTCACATGGCAGAAAGGGAAAGTCAGCCGGTGTGCCCTTTCACGCATTGCCCTGTTTTCTTCTTCCTTCTGGAATGCAGATGTAATGTCCAAAGGGGCGGCAGCTCTCCAGGGGCCATGAGGAGAACCACCAGCTGAAGATGGCACCACAAGAGTAGAAGATCCTGACCCCTTGACAGCATCATCCAATGTCTTCCCCAGCCCTGGACTGGCTGCCTCTGGACCTCTTGTCTGGGAGACAAATAAACCACAATTGTTTAAGAAAATATTCAGATATTTCTTTTGAGCACTTTATGCTGATCTTTCTCTTCTTTCTCTCTCAAATCTATCCACATTTTTAACAACCACAATCTCCAAGGAGGTGAGTCCTCAATTCTGAGTTGTTTCTCAATGGTCTCTTAAGTCCTGGCTCCCTCCAGCTGACTCTGGGCAAGTCATTCCACGGCGCTCACCAGGAGTCTGGCCTCTCTTCCTCTGCTGAATGCCATTGCCTTCAAACACCCTGTCTAATCTCGTAACTGCTAAAGCACCTTCCCCTTTTCTAATGCCGAGTTTAGACAGGAATATGTCACCTTTCCCCTGCATATCTCTTTAGCTTTAATTTTTTTCAAGAAAGTATGAGATCTGACAAAAAGAAGAGACAAACAAGTTATATGAAAAGTTAGGAAACATTATATTTTAAACTTTATATATGAACAGGTTGATTAATTTTTTTCTTTGTGTGCCTTTGTTTACATTTTTAAACATGGAAAAAAATTATCTGAGGATAGAAGAGTCATTAAAATTGAGGAAGACGTTTAAGATCATAAAAATATTATAAATGAGTAATTCTCAAAGTAGTTTCTTCTGGATCAGCAGCATCTGAATCACCTGGGAATGGTTAAAAAGGCAAATTCCCAGGCCCCACTCCAGGTCTACTAAATCAGGAACTCTGGGAGTGGGGCCAGGAAGCTGTGTGTTGCCATGCTCTCCAGGAGGTTCTGCTGTGTGTTCAAGTTTGTGAGCCACGGCTCTAGGCTCTCAGGCTCAGCTCTTCCTTTTAACCCACAGGAAACCACCCATACACTGAAATGCAGCTCCTGGAGAGCAACGTATTAGTCTTATTTATCTTTGTGTCCCGAACACTTAGGAAGGTGCCTCATACAAAGACAAAGGTCAAAACATATGCAGGCCAATAAATGAAGCAGAGAACAATAGCGGTACTTTAAGTTTAAAGCAGGTCCAAATAAAGATAGCTAATTCACAAATTTAAATTAGAAACACTATATTTGAAATACCAGGCATTATTCTCAAGATTTGTCATAATGGCTACATCTTTTTTGACATTTTTTGTTTCTACTATGACTTATAGTTTATAGGCAGAAAAGTGCATAAAATATATGTGTATATACACACACAATATAACATTGAAAAATGAAGTAAATACATATGTAACTAGCATCTGGATTAAGAAATAGAATTTTTTAAGTTATTTAGAAGCCACTATGCCTCATCACCTCCGCCAACTCCCTTGAGATCATCACTACACAAAATGTTGTGATAATCATTCCCTCCTTAATGTTTTCCCATCCACGTGTGGATCCTTCAACAAATGTCACTTAGTTGTGCCTGTTTTTGAATGACCGTGAATAGATTCTTTAGGATGTGGTTCTTCTCCAGATGAGAACCATCCACAGAGATGAATGGCACTTAGTTCATTTTCACTGCTGTATAGTTATACTGTGTGAACATACCATGGTTTTGTGGGGTTTTTGTCCATTCCACTGTTTATGGGCATTTGAGTTCTTTCCAGTTTTTGTTGTCATGAACATTGCCCAACTACAGCAATCACCATCTCATGGCCATATTTGAGCCAAACATACCCCCTTGCCCCTCCTCTGACATCACTTGACTATTTGGAAGCAATTCAAAGGTTCATATAATTTCATCTGTAACCTGTAAAAATTCTTTTGAGGAATAGAAATTCTTCATTTTAACATGGTCCCATTGACCAATCTTAGTTGGGGGGTGAGGGCATTCTTTTAGACTAGTTTTAAGGAAATAAAGCTTTCCTACTCCAAGTTTATGAAGAAATTTTTCTCTTCTTCCTAAAATCTTCTATTTTTCACCTTTCACATATAAGTCTTAACCCACCCAGAATTGGTTTCTGTGTAGGGGAATTTAATTGCATTTTTTATTCAATATGTTTACTAGGTTAGCTCTAGGACATTCAGCAAAATATCCATCAGTTCACCACTGGTCTATGCTACCGTGTCTTCCATATTTAGAGCTTTGCTATCTATGTGGGTTTGGCATCTGAACTTTCTGTTGTGTTCTATTTGCTTGTATGTCAGTCCTTGCACCAATAACTCAGTGTCCTTAAGTCCTACTGCAGTCTGGTAAAGCAAGTACTCACTTTATCCTTCTGGAAGGGAGAGGGTGGATATGACTAGTCTTAGACTTTGCAATTCCCATATAATTTTCTAGAATCAGCTCACTACATGACAAAGTAATTGTGATTTTGGTTGATTTGGCATAGGACATCTACACAATATCAACTCTGTGAATCCATAAGCATAAGACATATCTCCATTGTTTTAGCACTTCTTTAGTATATTTTGAAAAGAGTTCTGTAATTGTTTCTTATTCTATTGTAAATTTTTAAATATGATTGCTGTTTGTTGTTAGTATATAGAAATATAATTGATTTTTGTATTGATTTTGTATACAGCAGCCGTGCTAAATTCTTATTAATTGTATTATTCTTTCTATAGTTTCTTTTAATATTTGTAGTAATCTATTGGTACATAGTAAGTTATCCCAAAATATAGCGGCTTAAAGCAATAATAGTCATTTATTATTGCTCATGCTTTCTGTGGGTCAGGAATTCAGACAGGGTACAGTGGAGAAGGATGTCAGTGCTCTGTAATGTCCTCAGCTGGACAACTAGGGGCTGGAATTATCTGAATCCTTTCCAGCAATTGACGCTTTCCAGAACTTTCCAGGAATTGATGCTAACTATTGCCTGAGACCTTAGCTGAGGCTGTCAGCTGGAACACCCACATGTGGCCTCTCCACGTGTCCTGGGCTTCCTCCCAACATGGTGGCTGGATTCCAAAAGCAAGTGTCCTGAGACACAGCAAGCCGTAGCATTACTTCTGTTGGATTCCATTGGTCTGGGAAAGTCACAGATTCCCTCCCAGATTCAAGGACAAAGAGTCCAGACACCAGCTCTCCACAGCAAGAGTGTCAACCACACTCTAAGCAGTATATGAGATGGCATTGGTGGGCTGTGTTGGAACATACAACTTGACACAATATTGTATCCACAGAGAAATCATCTGCAAATAATGACAGCTGTGTTTCTTCTTCTACAATCCTTGTTTCTTTTCTTTCTTTTTTCCTAACCATACTACACTAGCAGGGAACTTTAATACCATGCCAAATAGAACAGGTAAAGTGGAGATGCTTGGACTTCTTTCTTCTCATCTTAAAGGGGATGATTTTAAACATCCCACCGTCAAGAATGACTTTTGCTGCAGGTTTTTGTTTGGGTGCACATAAAAATGAGACACTGGTGTCCCCCCGTGTCCCCCAGCAAGGAAGGATTTGCTGCAGCCGTAGGGATGCAGTCAGCAGACAGCGTCTAGCTGTCAGCCCCTCAGGGTGCTGTCCGAGCTGAGGTCACGCCCTGCCCGGAGCGGCCTGCTTAGGGAGACTGAGCAAGATGGGGGTATGAAGACCTAGCCATTTTGGCCCAACACAGGATCTTCTGATGGACAGTACTGGGTCTAGAAGGCACCACACCCCCGCAATGTTTTCCGAGACTTTGTCAGGCGTGCGTCACAGTTCACTTCTTCTTCCAACCAATCCTGCTCCTGACCACCTCCCTTCACAGGTGATGATGCCTAAAAAGAATCTTGCTGCCAAACTCTACCTAAGCACATACTTCCTGAAAACCTATCTTGCAACTATTGGCACAGGGAGAAGTAGAATAAAGTGAGCAACGAGAGGAGATTTGGAGATGGATGGCCCATCACCTGACTGGAGGAGGACCCCATCCCCGGTAGTGAGTGGAACACAGAGAGCTTTGGCAGAAGATGGTGTCCCAATTGTTATAACGTTTACTGGAGGTGAATTACGAGGATACTTTGACTGAAGGCAACACGTTGCAGGGAGAGATCAGGCATTTGAGATTTCTGGAGAAAATAGTAGCTACAAAGATGCAAGAATTAGATAGTATATTTGTTTGCTAGGGCCGCCATAACAGAATACCACAGACTGGGGGGTTTAAAAAAACCGAAGTTTAGGGGCTGGCCCCGTGGCCAAGTGGTTAAGTTCGCGTGCTCTGCTGCAGGCGGCCCAGTGTTTCGTTGGTTCGAATCCTGGGCGCGGACATGGCACTGCTCATCAAACCACACTGAGGCAGCGTCCCACATGCCACAACTAGAAGGACCCACAACAAAGAATATACAACTATGTACTGGGGGGCTTTGGGGAGAAAAAGGAAAAAAATTAAATCTTTTAAAAAAAAAAAAACCGAAGTTTATATTCTCACAGATCTGGAGGCTAGAAGCCCAAGATGAAGGTGCCAGCAGGCTTGTTTCTGGTGAGACCTCTCTCCTGGGCTTGGAGGTGGCCGCCTTCTCGCTGGGTCTTCACATGGCCTTTCCTCTGTGTGAGAGCACTTCTGCTATCTTTTCCTCTGCCTATAAGGACCCCAGTCCTATTAGGTCAGGGCCCCACACTTGTGACCTCATTTAACCCTAATTATGTCTTCAGTGTCCTTTCTTCAAATACAGTCACACTGAGTGTAAAGGCTACAACATACGAATTTGGGGGGAACACAATTCAGTCCGTAAGAGATGGCTGTTGCTAAGCACCATTGATGCCCTACAAGATGATAGAGAAGGGCGGAAGTGAGTAACAGGCAATTAACTGGAAGCCAGGTTTGAAAGTCAAGGGACCTCTTTGCTTGTGTGCAAAGAAGTAGAAGGACAGAGGAAGCCAGGCAGAGTTGAGTGACGCAGTCCCAGGCCACCACAACCCACACTGTTCTCTGTTCAGATACAGTTCACCATACACACTCCAGCAACAGCTCCTCCACGGTCCTGCCAGCCTCTCTTTCTGCAGTGAACCTTAGAAAGTGGACCTTAGTAGGACTAACTGAAGCCTCCATCAGCGCAGTTGGGCTTAGGGCTATAGCTGGTGCTCATTGTCTGTCTCCTGGATATCCATTCAGCAGGCCGTGG